GCCGGCTGTTGACCAACACCCCAAGGTCCTTTGCTGCCAGGCAGCTTTCCAGCCACTCCTCCCCAACCCTGTAGCGTTGCATGGGGTTGTTGTGACCCCAGTGCAGCACCCGGCACTTGGCCTTGTTGAACCTCATACAGCTGGCCTCAGCCCATCGACCCAGCCTGTCCAGATCCCTCTGCAGAGTCTTCCTACCCTTAAGCAGATCGACACTCCCACCCAACTTAGTGTCATCTGCAAACTTACTGAGGGAGCACTCGATCCTCTCATCCAGATTGTTAATAAAGATGTTAAAAAGAACTGGGCCTAATACTGAGCCCTGGGGAACACCACTCGTGACAGGCCAGCAGCTGGATTTGACTCCATTCACCACAACTCCTTGGGCCCAGCCATCCAGCCATTTTTTGTAACTAGCAAAGAGTACACCTGAGCAAGCCATAAGCAGCCCTTTTCTCCAGCAGGATGCTGTGGGGAACAGTGTCAAAGGCTTTACTAAAGTCCAGGTAGAAAACATCCACAGCCTTTCCCTCATCCACTAGGCAGGTCACTTGGTCGTAGCAGGAGATCAGGTTGGTCAAGCAGGACGTGCCTTTCATGAAGCCATGCTGGCTGGGCCTGAGCCCCTGGTGGTCCTGTTCGTGCCGTTGTGATGGCACTCAAGATGATCTGCTCCATTTTAGATTGCTTATCAATTTTTCTTAAAGAAACAGAGCACTATGGTCTTGTTTAATTGGAATTTTATCTCATATAATGAATAAATAAATAAACAAGCTAAGTAACATTTAAAGAAAGAAATGTGTTTAAGTAGCTGAAATATCTTAAATAACCAAAGTCTTTAACCTGCTAAGTAATGTATTAAGAAACTCTCTCCACAATAACTTCCACTGTGATCTCTGATTAAGCACTACTGTAGAATGAAAGTGAATTACAGAGATGGTTTGATACTGGGGAAACTTTCCAATGTAGCAGACAGAAAACAGAAATTAATTTACCTTTCATGGGGTCTTATTATTTATCTTGCTGTGTTTCCTAATTAATTGACGATATTGATGTTTACACAGGGATTTGCTCCTTTCCAACTCCGCTTGATCCTGTGAAGAAGTCAGAATGCTGCATTTGTAGTATCACATTTATT